CAAACCACTGCAAGTCCTGCAGGCTACCTTTTGTATTCATGCACACACCAGAGATATTTCAGAGGATGAGAAATTATCTAACTCAGGACATGAAAACTGAAGGCACCCAAGAAAACCCACAGGAGGAAAATCCACCCTAGGCTAAAGGATCTCTGAGGCTTTTTCAGAAAATGACTTAAGACGGTTTAACTCACTGGGGATGTCCTTAGCTTCTGCACTTGAAGCCTTCAAGAGAAAAATAACACTAATTGCATGGGCCTGATCAGCACAACAAACATTTTTGTCTCACCAGTAACCTCGAAAGAAGAATGTGGGGTATCCTCCACACTTGACCAGACAGTCTCATGCTGGAGGAACCTGCAAACACTGGTGGTCTTCCTGCAATCACAGAGATCACGGCAGTGATTAAACTGTTAAAAATAAAAATTCTTGCTAACAAAACAGGGACAAGTTGCAGAGAATGCCTGGAGGTGATGCTGTGCAGTTGTCTTAGTTGGAAGCTGTTTGTATTATATTACACTTTTGTGTCATATGTGTTTGATGGGTGCGTAGAGGCTAATGGAAGTTGTGCCAGAGCTTTTACTGAGTGCTCCTCTAAGTCTTAAGACTTCTAAGTGTGAATGATAAAACAGCCTATTAGAAGATAGCTTTCCATAGATAAAGTTATGCCTAACATAAAGTCTTCAATGCTAAAAGTACTCCTAAGATATTTACTTTATTTCACATCTGATCCCAGCTGACTGAGAAGAGCAACAACTGGAATTTCACAGTACCCCACCCACAATCTCTTCAGGAAGATCAGTCCTGTAAACTGTAGGATCTGTGTGTGTAGAGATTATACTTTATGGTCATATAACTAGAATATCCTAGAACAAAAATGCTCAGACTACAAATTGACATTGTTGTATAAATAAAAAAAAGCCATCTGAAATAAGGCTTTATCCGTCACCACTTTTGAGTGGGGTGAAGCAGCACATCTGGTCTCCAATCCTGTAACTGACGGGCTGAACCGGGGTTGGGAGCACTGTGGAGCTGCCACTGCCTAGGAGGAAGGGAGTGCCTGGCATTAGTCACCAGAAACCAGGTCTGAATCAGTTCACAGAGTCCTGATTCAGCAAGTTAAACACTGGTGTGAAAGAGAAGACAGGCCCTCGGCACTCTGCACTGAAGTGGAAAACTGCTGGGAAACCTAAAGGAATGCCCGGAACATGGCTCTGGATATCCAGCAGAACCTAGGACTGGGACAGGCCACCCGGGTCTCCATGGGCTTGGACACAGGCATGGGACATAGGTGTGCTGGGGGAAGATACCCTATGTCTGTGAAGGACAGTGACCACAAGAGGCATATGAGGTGGCCTTGGGAGCCCAAAGCCATGTTCAGTTTGCTTTTCCCCATCTGTTTTTGCTCACCCTGAGCAGATGATATGCAGGCTTATGCTCAGGCCTCCCGTACCCGAGAACGACTGCCCACAGTTACGCAAAGCAAATGTGTGTTTGGGGAATGCCACGTCAGCAGTCCTCCTAGGGTGCATGGAGGATCAGTGCCAGCCCTGTATGATGTTTACATAAGAGGATTTGATCTGTGCTTCCTAGTGTGATTCACTGGGCTCTGCCCCACTGGAGTAGCTAGAAGTTAATTCCTGTGCTTCCTTACTTGCTCCTGGTGCTCTGCTTTCTACAGCAACTGCGTCGGTAACAGTACCATTGCAGCAGGCGTTATGGTCCATTTTTAACACAGATATATTTAATTGGCATTTTTGGTTTTCCGCATATTTCTTCTAACCATATTTTCTTGAGCTTACAACCTTAATTTTTCAACTGCAAATCCTGCTTTCTTTATTTAGCTGAAACCCAGAACACTAACATTTAGAAATGCAGACTTGCCAGCACTGTTTAAACACCCTCCTTTAAATATGTAGGCTTGCAAAAATGAAACTGGTGCCCCTGTATTTTGAAGAGCTAAAAATGATACTGGTTTCAAAGATATGAAACATGAAAAGAAATTAAATGTTATGAAAAATTAAATTAAATTGAATTCTACTCGGTTTTTACTTGTGCTCGAGAAACTTGCACAGCTTTCTGTATAGGCAGCCACCAGGCTACCAGATCAGTTATCAATGACCAGATGTAGTACCAAGCTTGAGAATTTCACAGAATGTCACTACAGTGCTGGGTTCGGGGGTTTGGCCTTTTTTGGCTATCGTTTTGTTGTTTGTTTTTAATTAGGGACAGTAGTTTCAAAAATACGCTTTCCCATCTCTTTTATAAGTACATAGGTTATCTGTGTGAAGCTTTGGTGTTCCCTCTTCCCACCTTTCAGTCAGCGTACATATTTTGTTTCTCAGTTTTCTGACTTGAAACAGATCACAAGACTTAAGAACCACACAAGAATCTAACAAAGCTTTGCTTTCCAGTATTTTTAAGTATTTTCCTTCCTCACACTGTAGGAGGGATATGCAGGCAAACCAGAAGGGATACTAAATAACTGTGTTTTGAGCAGGATCGAGAGTCTGATATCTGCAAGCTCTGGACGTGCCCAGCCCTCATTGGGCTCAGGCTCTTGATTATTATACTGAACAATCCTTGCTCTCTATCTAGCATGACTACTGCTATGCAACATTTTCATGCAGCTTTATTGTTAAAATGCAGGTTATCGCAACAAGTATGCACTTTGGCAGCTAATTTATCTTGGTTTGTTCTTCTTCCTGCACATTCGTTTCATTTTTAAGTGTGGTGTGGCTTTCTGGATACTTTTTAAGATCAGCAGATGTTGCTTAAGGGAGAAGCTGCACTCCCAAGATCCATCTGTTGTCTTTTTTTGCCCAAATGGCTCTCTGGGGATGTTTCTGTTACTAGTGTTGCCATGAAAGGAGGCTGATGGCTGTCTGCACAAGCCCCAGCCAGGAAGTCCCTTTGGCTGCTTTTCATCTAGTCCCTTTCTTCTGACACGTCCAGCTTTGGTGGCCTACAAGGAGTCAGGCCTCCTCCTGTAAGAGCTATTGTGACCACTTGAGACACACAAACCACACTGTCTCAAAGTACAATGAGAAGAAGAGGAATGTTGGCAAGAGAAAATTCTGTATAAGCTATGATTAAGACATTAACAGAACTGTTGTTTATTACTCAATTTTCTCCAACAGCAACCAAGATCAGAGGTTTCGTCTTTTATCCCCCAATAAACCCTTATCTGGATCAAGTTTAGTCATATTCAGTTTACAGATTTTCTGCCGGACTCCCTCTTAAACGGGTTTTTCAAGAACTTGCAAATGTACTTTATTCAGTTCAGCCCTGTTTGACCATTTCCTCCCCATTCATCACCTAAATCATTTCTGCACAATTCTGGATTTTGTTGCTTGCTGCTTTTTTTGGACCTACATGAAACCTATTTTTCTTTGAAAAGATTAATTTCATTTTGAAGTAATTTTAAATATGTCAGTTTAGAGCTGCTCTGGTTTTAATTAATTTTTCTTTGTTTTCAATATATTGTCATTTTTACATCTTACTTGAACAATCCAAAGGAATTATGTACTATGAAATATGAAATTTTATACTAAAAGTGTTGTCACAAAAACACTTTGCTTCCACTGCGCAATGACTGGCAATTTGCTCTGTATCTGTGTATGACTGCTGCAGAAGCCATTATGAGAGCTAACTACTGCAACTAATCAAAAGTGTCCATGCAGAGTGGTGCATGCAGTTGCTTGTGGTCAGAGCTAGCTGGACATAAGCCAGACTGGTCTGGATATCAGGTACTTGCATTAATCAAAAGTTCAGAGCTGTGTTGTTATGTCCTGCACGGAGCACTTAGATGAGCAGTGTCATATTGTTGGAGTTTCAGATTTCATATCAGAGTTGGCCTGCATCCTGGGACCTCAAAGCATAAGAGCAGGCAAGCAACTCTCACACCCATTCATGTAGATGTAACCCCTGAGGTATGTGTAAGGTCTTTTAATATTCCAGAGAAGACATTGGTTCCCAAATGCTGTCTTCTCCATGTTTCTCAGTTCCCCCCCGCCCCCCCTTCTTTCTGTTAGATGAAATTCCACCTTTGTCTTAGTTCATGCCCAGATGTCTATACCTCATTTCAGACCGGCAAGGCTGACAGGTCTTGTGCTGCCAATGCAATACCTGGAAGTGCAGCTGGCTCTTCTTAGAAATAAACTTCTCCAATACACTACTTTTTCAGGAGCCTCAGAAGCCCAGGCTTCCTTGGCCCTTTAACCTACCCACAGCTCCTCATCCAAGGCAGCACTTCGTCTTTTCCACCTTTTTGTACTCTGGTGTATTACAAAAGACTGGGATGTCTCATACTCAGCCATATCTCAGCTTATGCAGACTGGGATTTGATAGACACTAGGCACAATTTTCCAGGACAGGGTGAGGCTAGCCTCGTTAGGATGAGCCAGCACTGGGGACTACAGCCAAATCCTGAAGCACCGGCTATATCCCATTTGTGTGACTGCTCAGCCCCACACTGTTACTGAAGCCTCTTGCAGAGTTGTGTTATTCCTGTCCCTCCCAGCTGGTGCCACTTCTCTTTTTTTCTGCCCTGACAGATGTGGTATCTTTCAGAAGGGTGAAAGGGAGCCTAAAACACTCATGTGCTCCATACCTCAGCTCTGCAGACCCCACTCTTGCCCCCAGCGCCTATAGCACAAAAAGGATAGCACAGAGCATTTTAAAAGAAGGTGCGGCGGTCACAAATAAATATGGAAGCTGAGGGAATAGAGCCATGAAAGATGATACTTGTATTCTATAGACCTTGGAGCTAACCCTCATTTGTAAATATCTCTGTTTTGCTTCTTGAGAGACCTTACTTCCCAGTGTGAGAGATGAGATAATAAGCACTTGGAGACATGTTAAAGTGATGTCAGTCAGTCCACAGCAATAAAAATACCAGGAAAGGTGTTTCCAAGCCTACAATGCTGCACCATAACAGTCTACCCGAGCTTTTGGTCTCATGGTTTTATTTACTTATTTATGCCCATTTTAACATGCAGAAGTGAAAGAGGTGCTTACCCACAGCAGCAAAGGGGAAGTTGGACAACAGTGAAAAGCCATCATTTATACAATCCAACCCAGAAAGAGAAATGAAAGAGACAGCAGAAGACCAAAAAAGGGCAAACTGCAGAGTCTGTACCCAAAATGTCAGTACCAATGATAACACAGGCTACCTGAAAGGCCAGGAAAATCCAGACATCCACCTACTCATTTTTCAGACTGTGTAGCATATGACTCGTTCAGATGGAGAAAATATCTGGAGCTGTCTGAAGGGCAAATAGAAGCCGCTAATCATCAAACTATTCAAGTTCCTCCAGAAGAGACATTTTGAAAGACGGAGATGAAGACACACCTTAAGCACATAAAGCAGGAAAAAGCAGATGGAGCTGCTTTCAAATTTTAAGGCATTTAATCAAATTCTGCCATCAGAATTTCAGTCTGCCTCATCCTGCATGTTAAACTCCATGCGCAGATGTCTCTGACTTGGGTCTCCTTCTTTGAGGATCAAGGACCTAGGCAGCAACTGAAATCTGCAGCAACTGGAATCTACAGCAACTGATGTGTGACCTCTTTGCATGCTTCATCTACTGCGTTGTTCAGCTTGTGAATTGAAATCAACAGCACCTCACAAAAATGCCTCCCTATGCCATAGGGATATCTGAGTTCAATGTGCATTGGCAGGTAATCTGTGGCTGAATTAACTCTGGCCAGTGATTTCAGATGGAAGTGTCTGTGGCTGGGCTTCTGAGTCTCCATGGAGACAACTGGATAAATGATCCAAGCATGCTGATCATTTTCAAGTTCCCATGAAAACATCACTCGTGCTTCAGCAGTCTAAGAATTAACCAATACCTTTTCACCCAGGTACGGATACCCCTTGTCACTAGGGCATCATTGCAGTGTTGTTGGATATGCTCACCAGAAAAGATATGCGCAGCTGAGTACATCACCATTTTGGTAGGATCCCATTTAATTGAACAGATTTACAATGAAGTTTTAACACTCAAAAAAGCTTTAGGAACTTAAGAATGTATCTGTGTATCTTTCTGCTGAAGAGGGTATTTGGTTGGTCAGCACTCTGCTCAGGCTCATTCATTTTCTATTTCTTCCTCTTTTCTCTGTCTTTCTAATGTATCAGCAAATTGCTTCTGCAGTCAAGGGTGGTTTTACAGTAGATGCCTCTTCTTCCAGCAGAAAAATCAACACATAGAATTTACAACACAATTAGCAGCTATCTAGCATGGTTCAGAGGGTATGACACTCCAATACCATTTCAGCAATCTTGATTTTCTACCAGACTTACCACTGAAGGGTGTCCTGTGTTACAAAGTTCCAGCATTGCTGAATCAGTGTGGAATATGAGGGGAATAAATATCACACGTCCTGCTATTACACCAAATACCTATTAACTATACCAGAAATTGTGCCAGGTTGTCAAAACACTGAGGAGGCAATACTACTGTGCTGGCAGCAAAAGGGGGATGCATTGCTGCACCCCTGGGGAATGAATCTGGAAAGTCTGGAGCAAGGCATCTAACACAGACATGGCTGAATGGCAGCCAGTTCCCTTCACTGACGGCACTCTCCTGCATGGACCTAACCTTGTGTTGAAGTCTTCCGCTCTGTTGGACTCTGTGGAGGGAATGAGCTCTTGGTGCTGTATCTCCCAAGTTTGCTATGTCCCATTGCGTGGCACCACATGGGATAAGGCATGTGGACGCTAATAATGCATTAGGTCAAGTAGTGGTTTGTCACTCAGAATGGAGAGCTCTTGTCACTAAACTACTGCCACACAACACCCATTCCTAGCCAGCCTCCTCTGCGTGCCTTCACCTTTCATATACCCAACCTATATGCCAGACACAGATAATTAGGTGATCCCAGATCAGACCTGTCTGATGCCAGGACCACAGCAGGACAGACGGATTACAATATGGCAATTGCATGAACTGATACAGCAGTGGGGAAATGTGAAGAGGTTGGTCAAATGGATGAGGCTTACTGCATGCAACTTTCCAAGTGTGTATCCACAGCAACAGTTCACATCAGAGTTCATAAGAGTGATACTACAGCTACTACTATTGCCAGCAGAATACTGCATCAGTTCTTTTCTTAGTGTAAACCAATAACCCAAAATCACGCAGAATTTCATGGGTTTTATCATGGCAAAGCTGAAAGCAGGCTCTCGTTAGGCAAGCTTGTATTGTAAATAATGAGCCCAATCAGAAGTCTCAGAAGTCATCCCTTTCTCTGAGAAGGTTAACACCTGGATCATTACATTTAGTTCATCAAATGTAAAATTCTTAAAGTTAAGGATATAGTTTCTCAATGGGTTAACAAAAATCAGACATACATTGGACTTTAATTTAGGTGTATGATCATATGCGTGATTGGGCAAACAGAAACTAGAAGTAAACAAATGATAAAAAAGAAAATTTACCACTATATATTTAGAAAATCAAGTCATTAAGTAAAAATTAATGAGGGTTCACTGAAAATTAATCTTGTAGACAATCCTGAATATTAAAACCCCAGTGTATCATACCTACTGTTTTCTCCACTCACAAGTTTCACAACGCCACAAATAAAATGTTGAAACAAAGCCCTCCAATGACTTGAAGCTGTTATGGACATTGAAGCAGGGCAGGAGCCCTGAGCCACTTGTCCTTGCTGCAGGTTTGCCTTCAGCACAGAGGTCTAGCCAAAGTACCAGAGCTGCAAAGTATCAGTAACTAAAAGACACACCACAGATCCAAAGGCTGGAAAATTCAGTTTTAGGGTGCTCAAAAGTGTGTCCAAGTGATGCAAAAAACTGAAGTGATGCAAACTCGTTTTGGCAGCTCCAGCTTATTGAAACATTTCTGAAAGGACAACTTTTCCCCAGCAGACTCAACACTGGTACATGCATAGTTTCTGTGCAATCCATCATAACGTCAAGGCAAATGAGGCAATTTGAGGAACCGCAGCAAGAGTTATCTGGAAGAATGGTTTTATAGAGAAAGGTTAAAAGAGTTTAATACATCTAGTTTCATTAAAGCAGAGGTAGATACAGGCATGTCTCCAGCCAGCAAATGCTTAAGTAACGCAAACCTTAAGGACGGGGAAGAAATACTTGGGTTTATACATATGGGAACAAGTAGGAGTAAATGAAAAGAGGGTGGTGAAAGACTGAATATCAGGAAATCTTGTTGGCAGTGAAGAGCAGAGCTTGTGCAAATTTTTCAGAGGAAGTGGTTGGGAATTCCTTTAGTTATTTAAAAAAGAATTTGAAAAATACCAATAAACAAGCCACCAGGAGGAAGTCTGTACTAGCCAGAAAGTTGATTGGCTAATCCAACAGCCTCCTCTCTCCACATTTCTTTCTTTGCTTCGTTTATTTTCTACCAATTGACCATGTACAACATTTGGTAAAAGCAAAGAGAAAGTAACCTGAGGCACACTCATGACAGAAACACCAGTGCCGGTTTAAGAGCCTATTTCCCACAAGTTCCTCCCAGCTGAACCTGAGAAAGGGACTCCATGAACATTTCTCGTTTATTAAAGTGCAACATCACCTGGATTTGTTTCATGTACCACAGAAGAGGTAACCCCATGCATGACAGACAATGTGGTTCAAACATTTGGTTATTGCTTTTGCAGTCTGTCAGGCAGATCACCTCTAATGAGTACCAGCAGTTAAGGGGCTATAGCTTCTAATTAACAGTTCTGCCACCCTCCCAGAAGTTTCTGCTTCCATAGCAAAAGGTGGCAGGACAGAAACCACACACCTGTATTCTAGACATCCTGGTTCCTTGCCCAGAAAAAAAGCATAAATCATCAACCACTCCTGTGACATTACAGTTAGATGCTGACACTTGGGCGTCAGGAATAGTTTATACTGTAGCTCAGGAAATGTTGCGATCTTTACGTACACACCTTTTCACTTAAGTCAGGCAAAACTGAAGGCAGACCCACCATACCTCTTCTGGTGTTAAATTTACTTTGTCTTAGCAGTCATGCTAACAAAGCTCAAAACTGCTGCAGAATTCAGAGCATGGCTCCCCATTTCAAAGCCTTTCTGACAGTTCTCCAGTAGAACAGGAGATTTCTTCATCTGATGAGACAGCTGTTGAACTTTACACACTCATGTGATTTCTTTTTATCAACACAAGTATGTTTCCATAAGAACTATTTCTATGTTTTATTATAGTTTATTACAAGAAAGTTGGAGTTTTTTCAGTATAGGAATTGGTTTTTTTAAAAAAAACCTGCTCAGTAGGCTCAAGCAATACTGCAATATCCAAATGTTAATATTTATACACACTGCATGCACAAACCAAGCAATTTGAATAGCCTCAAACATGTATGAAATAAATTAACAGAATGCTTTTTGCTTTATCATTTACAGACATTGAAACATATTGTATTGTTTTTTCCTGCACAGAAAACAGTGGGAGTTCTGGACAAAGATGAAAGGGAGAATACATATTGTGAGCTATTTGTTTTATACACATCTAATAATATCTTTTGTAAAAGACATTCTGTATATAGAACAATTAAAAAATGCCCATATTTTAATGCTGTAAGGTTTAAGAATCATACATCCCATAATGGTAGGACTCACAGTTGTTCTCTCATTTATATCACAGCCTTTTTTTTTGAATAGCACAGTTGGCATTTCCATTTTTACTCCAAGGCAGATTTTGCCATCCTTACATCTTAGTTTCATTAGAGTTCCCATTCATTTTAGTGGGTAGGATGCTCTACAGCATGAATTACAGCAAGAAAGTCTGGCTGCTCAGTTGTGCAACTCTGCATTTGAAATACAAGAAATAGAAAAGAGCTGACTCCTTTTCCAGAAAAATAGTGTGTGTACAGCAGTAGTCTAGTGAAGAAGGCAAAATCAGACTCTTACAGGGCTCACCATAATAAATAAGCAGCACTAGCAGCTGTTGTCTTTCTTAGTTCTTCACTTAGATTTGATTCTGCTCTTTGATGTACATGTCCATCCCCCACAGAAGTCCAGATGTGAGCTTCTGCTCACAGCAGTGATAGGGCTTTGTGTTTACTGTGCTTTAGGTGGTTCCAAGAGCTGTGAACAGAGACTCATGTGCCTAAGTCACTGATTCATATATACCCTTTTTCAATGCAGTGGTCAAAAGATTATGCAAGTTTGAAAGATTAGTAAGAAGCCTTTAATTTGACTCTTCATATGTCTTCTGGAAATGATCATTGCTGCTGGGGAAGGCTTTGACCTAACGTTTCTCACTTTCTATTTTTCCCTTTAATATAAACCTAGTTGGTGCTGTGACCACAGTTCAACAACACAACAGTATCCAGAATTTCAAGGTGTCCTTAGGGCATTCTGAAAATAAAGAAGAGCGTATGTTATGACTGTGTAAGAGCCTGTCGTGGTTTAAACCCTAGCCAGAGAGCTTGTTCACTCACTCCCAGTGAGTGGTGCCGGGCTGAGAGCAATCGAGGGCCACCCACCCCCCCCCCCCCCAGGGCTCTCCCCTTCCCCACTCCCAGAGGAACGGGGAGGAGGATCGAAAGAGTGCAACTCCCATGAGTTGAGACAAGAACACTCCAACAACCAATGTACAACACAAATCACCACCGCTACTACCAACAACAACAACGATAAGGGAAAATAACAACGGAAGAGAATACAATACTACCGGCCAAGAAACGAGTCCCACCCGGAAGCCTGTGTCCTTCTGGGTAACTCCCAGTTACCCCCCACCCCGGGCATGACGTGCTGTGGTATGGAATACCTCTTTGGCTAGCTTGGGTCAGGTGTCCTGTTTCTGCTTCCTCCCAGCTTCCCCTCCTCCCTGGCAGAGCATGAGCCTCACAAAGTCCTTGGTCAGCGTAAACATCACTTAGCAACAACCGAAAACATCGGTTTCACCAGCACCGTTCCCAGGCTGGAAGTCAAAACACAGTACTGCACCAGCTACCACGAAAGAGAAACATGACTGCTACTGCTGAACCCAGGACATTATCCACCCCTTATTCCATACCATTCACGTCATGCTCAGATCCCACATTTTCAATACACCATCGCTCTCCCACATATATACATCCATATACCAAGAGACCAAGAGAAAGAGATCATTTTCTTAGTGCATGGACCAATCCCTGTAATGCTGCCGAGTCCATTCGGTCCATGATGTCAGGTTCCATCTCTTGTAACAATCTTTCAGGGCAGGAAAGGCTGTGTGCAGTATTGGATCGTTGCCTGCTGCTGCTGGTTGTTCCTTTACTGCGGAACTCATCCGGTTCTATCAAAGTTCATTCTCTGTTGGGATGATGGTTGGAGGGAAGTCAGGGCTAGTCGCTGGTGACCTGGAGACATCTAGTTGATGGGCTATAAAAGTATTACACAGCAGGTACCAGCATAAAATTAAGTTCATTGGTTGCTTTCCCCTAAAATCAAATCCCCTTGAGGTATACATCGGACTTCCCCATCTTCCCACATTACCCACCAAGTATATCCAGGTCCCTGAGCAAAAGCAATCCCACGAGTGGGTTTGCCTTTACCTGAAGCAGGAATAACCCAGACTGTCTTCCCAAGCAAATTCTTCATATGCACCACGAGAACTTTGTCCCCCTCTACAATATGTAAAAGTTCTGACTGGGCCGGGCCAGCCCTGTTGGCAGATCCTCTGGTGTTGACCAACCAGGTGGCCTTTGGTGTGTCTCCCAATGCTTGAAAGTTCCCCCACCCATTGCTCTCAGTTTAGTTTTAATATGTGATATACCCACTCAATGCCATGCTCTTTGGCCCAAATATCTATAAGGTTATTCCGGAAATGAGTCCCATTGTCTGACTCAATTCTCTCTGGGGTGCCGTGTCGCCACAAAATCTGTTTCTCAAGGCCCAGGATAGTGTTCCGGGCAGTGGCATGGGGCGCAGCGTATGTTTCCAGCCACCCGGTGGTTGCCTCCACCATGGTAAGCACATGGCGCTTCCCTTGGCGGGTTGGTGGCAGTGTGATATAGTCAATCTGCCAGGCCTCCCCATATTTATACTTCAACCATGGTCCTCCATACCAGAGAGGCTTTAACCGCTTGGCTTGTTTAATTGCAGCACATGTTTCACACTCATGAATAACCTGGGCAATAGTGTCCATTGTTAAGTCCACCCCTCGATCACGGGCCCATCTGTATGTTGCATCTCTGCCCTGATGGCCTGAAGTGTCATGGGCCCACCGGGCCAAAAATAATTCACCTTTATGTTGCCAATCTAAGTCCACCTGAGCCACTTCAATCTTAGCCGCTTTATCCACTTGTTCGCTGTTCTGGTGTTCCTCAGTGGCCCGACTCTTGGGTACATGGGCATCTACGTGATGTACCTTCACCACCAGGTTCTGCACCCGGGCAGCAGTATCTTTCCACAGTGCAGCAGCCCAGATGGGTTTACCTCTGCGTTGCCAGTTGCTCTGCTTCCATTGCTTCAACCACCCCCACAGGGCATTTGCCACCATCCATGAGTCAGTATAGAGATAAAGTACTGGCCACTTTTCTCGTTCAGCAATGTCCAGGGCCAGCTGGATGGCTTTCACCTCGGCAAACTGACTCGATTCACCCTCTCCTTTAGCAGTTTCTGCAACTTGTCGTCCAGGACTCCATACAGCTGCCTTCCATCTCCGATGCTTTCCCACAATACAGCAAGAGCCATCAGTAAACAAGGCATACTGCTTTTCACTTTCTGACAGTTTATTATATGGTGGGGCCTCTTCAGCGCGCACCACCTCCTCCTCTGGTGACATTCCGAAATGTTTGCCCTCTGGCCAGTCCATGATGACTTCTAGAATACCTGGATGACTGAGATTTCCTATTCGAGTTCGTTGTGTAATTAGTGCAGCCCATTTACTCTATGTAGCATCAGTTGCATGATGTGTAGAGGAGACCCTGCCTTTGAACATACAGCCCAGCACGGGCAACCGGGGTGCCAGGAGGAGCTGTGCTTCAGTGCCAATCACTTCCGAAGCAGCTCGAAGCCCTTCATAAGCTGCCAGTATCTCTTTCTCAGTTGGGGTATAGCTGGCCTCAGATCCTTTGCATCCCCGACTCCAAAAGCCGAGGGGTCAACCTCGAGTCTCCCCTGGAGCTTTCTGCCAGAGGCTCCAGATAGGACCATTCTCCCAGCTGCAGTGTACAGTACATTTTTTACATCTGGCCCTGTCTGGACAGGTCCAAGGGCTACTGCATGAACTATCTCACGTTTAATTTGCTCAAAGGCTTGTTGTTGCTCAGGGCCCCATTTAAAATCATTCTTCTTCCGGGTCACATGATAGAGAGGGCTTACAATCGAACTGTAATTTGGGATGTGCATTCTCCAGAACCCCACTGCACCCAAGAAAGCTTGCGTCTCTTTCTTACTAGTTGGTGGAGACATTGCTGTTATCTTCTTGATCACATCCGTGGGGATCTGTCTACGTCCATCTTGCCATTTTATTCCCAAAAATTGAATCTCCTGTGCAGGTCCCTTGACCTTACTCCGTTTTATGGCAAAACCAGCTTTCAGCAGGATTTGGATTATTTTCCTCCCTTTCTCAAAGACTTCTTCCGCTGTATCGCCCCACATGATAATGTCATCAATGTATTGCAGGTGTTCTGGAGCTTGCCCCTGTTCCAGTGCAGTCTGGGTGAGTCCGTGGCAAATGGTAGGGCTGTGTTTCCACCCCTGGGGCAGTCGGTTCCAAGTGAACTGGACAGCCCTCCAAGTAAAAGCAAACAGCGGCCTGCACTCTGCTGCCAAAGGAATTGAGAAAAATGCATTGGCAATACCAGTCATGGCATACCATTTGGCTGCCTTTGACTCCAGTTCATACTGAAGTTCTAGCATGTCCGGTACGGCAGCCCTCAATGGTGGTGTGACTTCATTCAGGCCACGATAGTCTACTGTTAGTCTCCATTCTCCATTAGACTTTCACACTGGCCATATGGGGCTATTAAAGGGCGAGCAGGTCCTGCTGATCACCCCCTGACTCTCCAGTCTATGGATCAGCTGATGGATGGGAATCAGGGAGTCTCGGTTGGTGCGGTATTGCCGCCGTTGCACTGTTGTGGTCGCAATTGGCACTTGTTGTTCTTAGACTTTCAGCAACCCCACAACAGAAGGATCCTCTGAGAGGCCAGGCAAGGTGGACAGCTGCTCCATTTCCTCAGTCTCCAAAGCAGCAATACCAAAAGCCCACCGGTACCCCTTTGGGTCTTTGAAGTACCCTCTCTTGAGGTAGTCTATGCCAAGGATGCATGGAGCCTCTGGACCAGTCACAATAGGGTGCTTTTGCCACTCCCTCCCAGTCAGGCTGATTTCAGCCTCCAGCACAGTCAACTCTTGGGATCCTCCTGTCACTCCAGAAATATAGATGGGTTCCACCCCTTGACAGCTTGATGGCATCAGGGTACACTGTGCACCGGTATCTACTAGAGCCTTATACTTCTGTGGGACTGATGTGCCAGGCCATCTGATCCACACAGTCCAGTAAATCCGATTGTCCCCTACCTCCACCTGGCTGGAGGCAGGGCCCCTCTAATGGTCATCACAGCATTGGACACTTAAGTCGTGTTGAAAGGGATTATTCTTCGTTATCACAGGAGCTGGAGTAAAATCAGCTCTTCCACTCCATCTGGGAAACTGCTCATCAGAGACTGAAGCTGTAGCTCTCATGGGATGATCAGTCTTGGCCCTTGCTCCCCTCTTCAATTCACTCACCCGTTCCTCCAAAGCTGAAGTAGGTTTTCCATCCCACTTTGTCATGTCTTCTCCATGATCCTGCAGGTATAAACCATAGGGTAGCCCGTGGCGTATACCTCCTGTATCTCCTCTCTTAAACAATAGGACGCCTTTTGTTAATAGCTGAGACGTGTGTTGGTACACGTGAGGAGCTGGATAAATCAGACAGATCGTCCCTCAATTGTTTGAGGTCCTGGGACAGTTTTTCCACAGCTGAGATGATGGAAGGGGTGAGATTGTCTTCAAACTCTCAGAGTTTATGAACCATTTCATCCACTGTTAGTGGTACTATGTCATTCCAGGTTACTGTTGCCAATGAATGGGCATATGATGACGGTGCATTCCGTGTAAGTTTTTGCCACATGGGTCGTGTACATTCAACTTCATCTGGATCTATGGGCATATCCCTGTTATTCGGCTTGATGTGATAGATCATCTCTACGACGGCTGATTCCCTCAGAGACTGGATGTCTTTGTCTATAGTAGTCCACTTGGCTGAATGACTCATAACATCATCCTTGTATGGAAACCTTTCTTTCACAGCTGCCAAAAGCCGCCTCCAAAGACTAAGGGACTTTTTCTCTCTTGCAATTGCTTTGTCAATTCCCCCTTCTCTAGCAAGTGATCCCAGCTGCTTGGCTTCTGTACCTTCTAGTTCGTGACCATTGGCCCCATTGTCCCAGCATTGGAATAACCAGGTGATGATGTGCTCCCCTGGTTGACAGGTAAAATCTTTTCGCATATTCCGTAGCTTGGTTGAGGTCCAAGGTTGAGAAGTTACCTCTTCCTCTTCTTCTTCGTCACGTGATGATGACTCCTGATCAGATGCTAGACCGGGTGGTGAATACATTGTTTCTTCGTCTCGCTTCACCCTTCTTGCCTCTTTTTTGCTTTTTCTCTTGTGTACAGGGGCAACCGATAATGGTAAGAATTGGTCCTCTGGTTTGGCTGCAGTGATTATCATTGTGGTTTGAGTAGCGACTGTACTTGTTGCTGGGGGTGGTGCAGCTGCTGTGCTTGGAGCTGGGGTAACCGCGCTGTCTGTTGCGGTTGAAGTTTGAGCAGCTGCTGTACTTGCCACTGGGGTAGCTGCGCTGTTCATTGCAGCCAAAGTTTGAGTAGTGACTGTACTTGTTGCTGGGGGTGGTGCAGCTGCTGTGCTTGGAGCTGGGGTAACCGCGCTGTCTGTTGCAGTCGAAGTTTGAGCAGCTGCTGTACTTGCCACTGGGGTAGCTGCGCTGTTCATTGCAGCCAAAGTTTGAGTAGTGACTGTACTTGTTGCTGGGGGTGGTGAAGCTGCTGTGCTTGGAGCTGGAGTAGCTGTGCTGACTGTTGCATTGCCCTCAGATCCACCGATATTTTTTTCCTTTTGAAGGTGCTGGATAGTGTTGAACAAGGCCCTGTAAGCATAGCCCAAGCCGCAGCACGTTGCCATGATTTGTCAGAATGACCACACACCTCATTTAAGTGTTTTACTAATTCTTCTGGATTTTGCAGTTGTTCGGTAGTGAAATTCCAAAGTACTGGAGGGGCCCACTGACCTAGATACTTGCCCATACTATCCCACACACCCTGCCACTCATGACTGTCCAGCCTCAGGGAAAATCTCCTGGTCCTCCTACATCGTCGTTTGACCCCAGACAAGACCCAAACCTGACTCTGCTTAACTCTTGAAATCAGCTGTGGGCAAAACACACTCTGTATGCGTGCTAGCATGGTGATTCCCATGACGATCAGCAAACAAGTCTCAACAGCATTAAAAGGCCATTCAAAAACCTCAAAACTCTCAAATGTAAATGGTCTGGGGGAAGGACTGGGAGGGTAAAAGGATGTCTCCTTCATAGGTTGAGCACCTGAGGAGAAAAAAGACGTGTAATTGCTAAGCACTTCTATTATATATCTCAAAAAGTATAAAGGTGGTGACCACACTGGGAACATAAGCCAGATCAGTTTCATGATCAATTATTCTATTGTATTACAAGTCATTACCATAAAGTACAATGAGACAAAAACCTTAGCCCAAGCCTCACAGTTGAAAAACACCAATACAGCAAATACCAGATGGACGTAAGATACGATATACTGAAACTGTGAGATCAAGAGGAACAACCTTGAGAGCCAATAAATCAGCACTGTGACAAGTGACTATTAATCTGGGCAAATCTTTCGTTATCTCAACCCCTCGTGCCCCATGTTGGGCGCCAAAAGAACCGTCGGGGTTTAAACCCTAGCCAGACAGCTTGCTCACTCACTCCCAGTGAGTGGTGCCGGGCTGAGAGCAATTGAGGCCCCCCCCCCCAGGGCTCTCCCCTTCCCCACTCCCAGAGGAACGGGGAGGAGGATCAAAAGAGTGGAACTCCCACGAGTTGAGACAAGAACAGTCCAACAACCAATGTACAACACAAATCACCACCACTACCACCACCAACAACAATGATAAGAGAAAATAACAACGGAAGAGAATACAATACCACCGGCCAAGAAAGAAGTCCCACCTGGAAACCTGTGTCCTTCCGGGTAACTCCCAGTTACCCCCCCCACCCCGGGCATGATGTGCTGTGGTATGGAATACCTCTTTGGCTAGCCTGGGTCAGGTGCCCCATCTCTGCTTCCTCACGGCTTCCCCTCCTCCCTGGCAGAGCATGAGCCTCACAAAGTCCTTGGTCAGGGTAAACATCACTTAGCAACAACCGAAAACATCAGTTTCACTAGCACTGTTCCCAGGCTGGAAGTCAAAACACAGCACTGCACCAGCTACCACGAAGGAGAAACTTGAGTGCTACTGCTGAACCCAGGACAGAGCCATAATAAATGTTACTATTTTTAGGTAGGCTGTGCATTAGTCAGTCCCTTAGAGATTTAGGATCTATTATACTATCCCAATCTATTATACTGTTGTGACAGCTGAAATTCCACCACGTGTTCAAGCACTTCAAACCTAACATAACGTGTTGATCATGTACGGAAACAAATGACTAAGGAACAGAGCATGGGTGCAAAAAGCTTTTTACTCTTAGCAGTTAAGCCAGTTCAACAGTACTACTATCTGTACTATAGACTTCTCTGTCACTTTATCTGAGATGACTTTAGCAGTTATCAATCCTGATCTCAGACAGATGATACCCAGACCAAGCTGAGGCTGTGCTTCGTATCTCTTTTATGAGCAGCAAAGCCACACTGCACGCCTGGCATCACAGCTCCTTTCAGCACTGGCAAAATGTGGCCATTTGCCAGCACACCCACTTGACAGGCATCAACCTCCTACTTGTAACATGCCTTCTTCCCCATTGCAAATTCATGCATTTCACAAAGTCCCTATGGCCGCTCGTGTCGCAGAAACAGATAGTGTCAGATACAAATCTTTCCTCAACAGTGGCTGCCATGTGGTATCACACCTTGCTTTAGCAGCGGGCCTCACACTACACCTCAAGCGCACACCACCTCCTTATCCTCTGATTTCTAGTGCCGGTGAGGCTGATGTGCAGACAGGCCCGGCCCGGCCCGGCCCAGCGGATTCCCACACTGGGACAGCTATTGACATACAGGTCCCTCAAAATCCCGAGACTCCAAAGGAGTGGCTGGGAGGCTAAGGCATGGAATAGGATATAAACACCGCACAGAAACGGTCCCGCCGAGAAGCCGCTGCCCCCGTTCGCCAGCGAGGCCGTAATGCGCCGCACACAGCCCGGGTAAGCTGACCTCCCTCCGCCAAAGCCCCGCACTCAACCACCATCCCGCCGCCATCTTGGCTGTGGGCAGGACTAGCCCTGCTACTCTCTGTAAGGAAACAATACAGCGACACCCTAACTCTTCAAACGACAGGGTGAAGAGATTACTGAGGAAGCGGAATGACCCGTCCGCTAGGAGACCTAAAGTTACATTAGAAAATAAATCCGAATAAAAAACCCCAAACAAGCCACTGCCCGAACTGTCTCCCACAGGCAGGGAACACAGGGACTTGCCCGCACTTAAAATGGCACTTACTTCCCCCGTCGCCTGGAAGCCCCGCCCCAGGCAGCAAGGTACGCGCCTCTGTGTGCGTGCGTGCGCGTACCCCTGCGGAATGCCCCCCCCCTCCCCCCCCCGTGACACACGCGTCAGGAGACGCAGCGCGCTGCGGGGTGCCTGCCCCGCCCCGCCCCCCCGCCTTCCATCTACCCCGGGCCCCGCCCCTCCCCTCCCCGAGCTCCTCCGCGCGTGCGCCGCGGCCCGGCCGGAGACCCGGCGGACCCGCACCGGCTGCGGCAGTGCGATGACGGCGCGGCGGGAGGCGGCAGCGGGCCCCGGTTCTCCCGGCTGCCCTGGCTCCCCCTTCCCTCGCGCCGGCAGCTGGGCAGCTGTCTGGCGGGTCGCGGCGCTGCGCTTGGCCCTGGCGGTGCTTCTCCACACGGCCCGGGCCGAGAAGGAAGGTGAGACCCAGATTTCTTTTCCTTTATGTCCTTCCTCCGGCGGCTGTTGTGGAGCCGGTGGCGGCTGGGGCTCTGGGGAAGGGACGACGCGGGCGCGTGTCTTGGTGGGGGAGCGGCTGGTGGGGCGAGCGGCCTCTTCGCCCCTTCCCCCTCGGCGGAGTCGCCGGGTCCTGCAGCCGCCGACCGTGCGCTGCCGTGTCCCTCCGTCTTCTCCGTCCCCTTCTTCCCGGCCGCGGCTGCCGGGGTGCGCCGGCGGGTCTGTGTGTGTGGTGGTGAAAGAGATGAGGGTTGCTGACTCTGTAGTGAACTCGATGGGGTTTCTCCCCCCTGACAGCAGTGGAGCTGGAGCTGCCCTTTAAAAAGGAGAGAGGGGAAAGAAAGGGGAGGGAGAAAGAAAAAGGCAAGCGCTTTCTCGCGTTGAGCTGGTTTCCCTGCGGCAAGCTTCCAGTAGGAGAGCGAGCCAAGGCAAACAGGCGGGCAGACCTGGCTGAGAAAGGGCAGAAATGCAGGCTCGGAAGTAACAGCGGGACCCCCTTCGCCTCGCCGAACTTCTGACAGGTGTCTGACGCCTTCCCCAGGCCGGTGGCGTTTTTTCTCCAAACTCTAGTGAAAGTCAGAACTTTTCAGGACTTCTTAACTTGCAGCGTCTTTGATTTTGGCACGTTGTCTTTTCATTGTGGTTTAACTAGGCAAAAAGAGCCCCGAGCGAAACACCTAAGCATGTTCCGTACCATTGCTGAGAACGGCATTAAAGCATTTCCAAGGTGCAGGCTCCCGGTCTGCTTAAAGCTGTGTCTGTGTGGCAGTGTTTGAAAAGCAGCAGATAAACGTAATGTGTTGCAGAAGTAGGTGAAGCAGATCTACTTTGACACGAGCATTTGCTTTTCGAACAAGTTGCTGCACTGGAGGAGGATATACTGGAAGGCGGTTGAAGTGTATGAGGGCAGATGAGGTCTGAGGGGATGAATAAAAAAAGAATAAGAAGGGTATGAAATAACAGTTTAGTGAGTTTAGTTTAGTTAATTATGTTTCAAGACCAAACTTGAGGGAAGAAATGCATCCTAGCAGTGCATGTATAAGAATAAATGTAGGTACACCCTTAATTTTCTAATGAAAGGCTCAACTTGAGTAATTTTCCAGTAATTCGTTTTTACAGATATGATGATGCTGATATTAAGATGGTAAAAAAAAAAAATTTGCATCACAGCCACTCTTTTTTATTTTTCTTCAGAAAATGTAACATTTAGAAAACAGTGTGAAGAAGATACAATATCCTTAGTGAGGAGAACTTGTAAGTCTGTCAGTTCAGACTATACTGTCTTGAGGTGCTAGAAGTTCAAATGCTTCAGAAGTACCTGGTTTTTGATCCTGATTTTGATAGCATTTTTTACAGGTAGTGGCATGTAAGCTTTATCAGTGATGTCATATACTGGTATGATGGAGTTGATTCATGCCCTAAAACTTGTGACAGCTGGGGCCATGGCCTGGCTTTGTTAATTTGTGAAGGAGTTAGTGTTTTTCTCTATGGGCTTCCTTGGCACTCCTAAATAAACGAAGGCAGGTTTAGATTCACAGAGTTTAAATGGATGTGATTAAGTCCTTCAAGAAAATGGACTAGCTTGTACTGATAGCCATTTCCTTCAATTGATACAGTCTAATACTTAAAACTTATCCTAGCAACACTTCTGTAGTTTTCAAAAAGTGCATTCAATTTGAATATATATATATTTTTTTTTCCTTTTCCGATTTCCAACACTCATTTTTCTTCCCAGGATTTCTGCTGCTTGAGTGTAGTCTACAAGTGGTGCATTTAAGCTCACTAAGTCTTGGTTTGGTGGTTTGGGGTTTTGTTGGTTTAGATTTTTTTAATTTTTTTTTTAATTTGCTTGTGGGTTTTTTGGTGGTTTTGGTTTTGATTTTTCGGGGGGGGGGGTGTGGTTTAATCTGTTATGAGCCCTTTAGAATTCCTTCATGATCTGCATTTGTGGATCACACTTTGCAAACTGTTGTCTTGGAGCCTTTCTTTTGCTGAGTGGAATGTCTGTTGATACTCTGGGTAAAAGAACAGTGGAGTTTTAAAGCAAGACAGTCAAAGTGACTTGTGAGATCCACTCCCACTGATCTTAAACTACAGTCTAAGTGCCAGTCTGCAAGGGGCAGTAACTGAGCATAGGAAAAGATGGACCAGCTTGGACAGTGGCCCCTTAGGCCAAGGTAGGAGCTCAAAATGGAGAGGGAAGGGTGCTTCAGGCTCTGTCCTTCAGTGCCTTAGCCTTTTGCCAGGTTGTGTCAATTTAAACATAGTAAGACAGAGTTTCAAAAGAAAAAGCTTGAAGTAAGGAAATAGCTAGGAATATCCTTTACGTTTCCCAAATGTGGGCATACATGTTTCACTGCAGCTGCAGGAAGGAAGCTGTGGAGAGAAATTGGTTGTGCATTCTTCTTGCTCCTGTGCTATTTCTACACTGCTTAGTGGAAGGTGACTGTAGTAAGACAAAGCTTAGTATATATTCCAGAGAAGTTGCTAACAGAGAAATGATAGAAGTGACAGAGGAATAGATCAGAATATTGCAAAATAAAGTGAAAAATGAAGGTGGAAGACATTCTTTTCCTCTTGCGTTGCGTGTACCTGAGCAGACACTGGGGAGAGATGGAGCTGATGCGTGAAAGAGTATGCTGGCTTCATGCTCCTATGGAGAAGGAGCAGCAAGCAGTTCTTTATGGAGCTATTGTGAGTAGGAAGAAGATTGATGCTGGAGTATTCCAGATTGACATGATTGCTTCTAGTCCCCAATCTGAGTTAAAGAGTTGGAGGGTGAAATTATAACATAAACAGCTTTGCCATTTATCTAACAGCAAAAAGCAAACCTGAAGTCCTTTATATAGGCAAACTGTAAATCAGACTCACAGGGAACAGTGATACTGCTGTACACTTTCTCTGTGCTAGAGAAATAGAACTTGTGGGAAGTATCTGGTATCTGAACGAATCTGAGAGCAGAGAAAACTGCATGTGGACCAGCCAAAACCCATCAGTTTCAGACTAAACACTGATATGTGACTTTTCTCTCTTTCCTTTTTTTTTTTTTTTCTGTCTAGCTGTGTCCTCAGAACCCATGTATTGCTGAGAAATGAATAAGACTGAGGAGGTTGTAAAATGTTTTGGTTTTTTCACTTAGGAAATCTGTGAACCCATAGCAAAAGAATGACATGGCAGGGGAAAAAAAATTGCATTCAGTCTTAGAGCCACTTGTCATTTAGGAGGGGCAAAAATAATGTAAGGGTTTCTTTTGCAAATACATATGATTTTCAGGCTTTTTGTAGGCTCATCCTTTCCTAGTGTAATTATCATGTTCTATATTGCCACATGGATTGAGGACAACTTTCAGTTTATATTTGGGGGTGTGTGTTTTTTGTTGTGGGTTTTGTTTTGTTTTTTTTAGTTTTTTTTTTTCTAAAGCTCGACATATTCTCTGCTAGTATCCTAGAAGCCGAGATAGTGTAAATGATAGGTAAAATAATCATGAAGTTAAAGGAAGGTGTCATTAAAACAGTGCATTGGCGTGCAGGAGTTCTGGCTCCAGTTTTGTCATTCT